CACATAAGGCTAAGAAAGACACGGGACATTTCCACCACAGTAGAAAGTTCCACTGAACAGAGCTGATTCAGAGTACCTTCATTGATTCAATGAAAGTTCACAAGGCCTGAGTTCCTAAGTACAGCAGTTTAGGTATTTACTGATTGTGAAGTTTGTCTCTCAGAAGGATGACCCAACGGACTCTGTATGTTCTTGGCAGGTTCTCTTAGGGCAGTGGGGAAAATTTTTCGAAGCCTAACACAGAGCTCAAGCTCAGCATATTGTAAGTACCTAATATTTGCTGAATTAATAAACAAATGAATGGATGAATGAATTGCATAATAATGTCTCGATTTCAGTTTGGGCCTGGATTTACTTAGAGATATTAGCTCACAGAAAGCAATGAATTCTTTTTTTTCCTCATAAGCAGTTTTTATAAGAAGAAATAAGCATGCTGAGGCAGGCAGTTCATGGACTCTTTGGAGCCACCAAAATAAATGTGCAAAGCATAAATAATCTAGCCAAAGGGAATTTCAATATTCAAACAAAAAGTTTCAGACCCAAGGAAACATCTTGTTTCTTCAATACCCACTACTTGCAGTTTTCTGGGACAAGGACAAGAAGGGAAGTTGGAGATGCTCTGAAAGATCACACAGCCTGCTGCCAGTTTCTTAGAACATTTCCAATATAAATTTGCCAGAAAATAATACAACCCCAAAGACAGCGAGCATCTAACTGCATCATCTGTGTACTCTTACAGCTAGATTCCCCTTTTCTGCAGTGTCCTGTGTCTCAATCTACCATACCTATCAAATACCTTCTCGGAAAGTTAGACTTCTCAAAAAAATCTAATGCTAAAAAAGAATGTAGGTTTTTGTACACAGAAAGAAAAAAAAAGCAGTCCCACTGCCCCTTAACCAGTAATCTCCGGGGAGCCAAACAAAAGAAGCTACAGCTGCTTTTGAACATTTTCTACTCCCCATGTTCGACAACCAATGGCCACAGGAAGAGCCAAGCTGCCCCACTTCTGTAATTCACCTTTTCTTAGCAAAGGTTTGAGAACAGAAGGCCAGAGAAACAGAGCAGCTGCTGCCCGCTCTTATCAATGCCCTCTGCTCACGCCCCATCCTCTTCATTATTGTTTCAGATTCCTTTTCTCAACAGCCTCTAGGCCTCAGCTCCTGGGAAGAGATAACAGGGAAAAGCAGCCTTCTCCACTTCAACACTGCTGCAGCACAAACCTCTACATCCCTTCTCTAAGATGATCTACTGGGAATTAAAATAAGTGAGCCTCAAATTCAACTTTGAATTGTTAATCTGCTTTATTCTTTATTCCAATCACCTACTTATAATCACATGGAACTCCTTACATATTTTTATAAGAAATTACACAACTTCCATCTCTTCAAGCAAACAACAAAAACAGCCCCACTCTTTCAAGATCTATAAAATAATGGCTACTGATGAGTCAGTCATTCAATTTTCAAATTCCATGACCCCAAGAATCTAAATATTAGAGCCAGAAATATGAACTTCTGCACGACATGATGCTAATTCTAAGGACATACAAGCACAGAAGTTAAGACAATTGGATCCACTTATTAGTTGTGGGATTCCAAGAAAATTATTTAACCCCTGGACTTCAGAATTGAGATGATGACAGGACTGATCTTATGAGTTGTCATGGGAAATAAAGAAGATGCTCCACGTAAGAACTCAATAAATATGAGCTATGATTGTAACATGCATTATGGCTGAAACACATTACTTAAAATAAGTGTTTTCCAAAAGTGAGGACTTCAGATGAAACTTCAAGGAATATCTGTGTCTCAGAAGATCCACATGAAAGTACTACATAAGAAAAGAGCCCTACCCTCTGTCAAAAGGAGATGTTTCCACAAACCACAAACCCCTAACTCCAAGAATAATATTTTTAAAATATCCATCAACCCATACATTTGACTCATCTTACTGATTTATGGTCAGAGGAGGTAAGTGGGGAGTTTCAAACCAGATGGCTGTTTGCTGTTCAGTGAGCCCCAAGGAGGGTGCCCTGGCCACAGCCTGGCCTTCCCATGGAGGAGGGGGCGAGGAGCTGCTGGCTTCCTCTCCCCAACAGGTGTCCACAAAAGAGAAAATGCTCTACCACCGCTGTCCCTGGAGCGCCAACAAAGTCCTTGTCTACTGGCACCAACTAGGCTACTGCCACCCAGTTTGTTGACCTTCTGGGCAAAGTTAAAAAAAAAATCTTTCTTTTGGTAGAGTAAACAAGTACTGCAAGGACATGGGCTACTTTTATGTAAACAAGATAGCATAAGCAAAGATTCACTATTGATGTTATAGGTTATACCTTACTTTCAAATGAGGCACAGAAATCAGATAATTTTTATTTAAGAATAATTTTTTAAACACACGCTACAGCCCACCATGGTGGCTCAAATCTGTAATCCTAGCATTTCAGAGGCTGAGGCAGGAGGATTGTCTTGGGTTCAAGGCCAGCCTGCATTACAATGCAAAACCCTGTCTAAAGAAAGAAAGAAAGAAAGAAAGAAAGAAAGAAATGCTACAAATTAGCCTTTCCCCCCCGCCATTGTAAACTCCAACAGTCACTACAACTAACATGAATTTGGAGCTTCTTTGGAAGATGGTCAGAAAAGGTCCTCAGGAACACCCTCTTTCAAAAAAAAATAATGCTACCACTTAATCTGAGTCTGTACACGATATCACCAACAATACAAGCTCCTCAAGACATGAACACTGAGAAGGAATGCTCCGGAGAACTTCATTTGGATCCTGTACTTCTCTTAATAAACCCGAGCTGGTTTAACTGTAAAAAAAACTCAGGAGGTGGCTGGAGATGTAGTTCAGTGGCAGACCACATGCTCAGCTTGCATCAGGCTATGGGTTCAATCTCCAGCATGACAAAAAGATAAATAAAGGCACAGGAGAGAAGCCAAGGAGCTCTGCGCATGGCCCAGACTACCCTGAAAGAACCCTCAAATATTGACACCCCTGCAGAAGAAGGTGAGACAAGACCACCAGCCTTCTGTGCCTGAATCACATACGAAGGTACACAGACTTGTCACCAGATCAGTTTTCACAATATCCCTGCTTGCTTCACCCTCTGTAATGTCTGAATTCATTTCTAACAATTGGGAAGGATCACCATCTATTACTCACCTCCTAATCCAACCCAATCCCAAAGGTTCGTTCTTTCATAACTGCCAAATGACATTACCCCAAGAAAACCTCAGAGGAACCAGTCTTTAGGCCAAAGCACATACACATTTTCACGTTCACAGTTTTGCCTCAGCACCTCCTAACCAAGACTGAAATGAACCCATCCATTACCACACGAGTGTCTTAGCTTATGAACAATGCACATCAAATCACTCCAGAATTTCTACAGGGAATTTGCAAATATTTTAAGAAAGGAAGGAAAAGTATTTCTTGGAAGAAGATAGAAAGCGTGTTTCCTCTCCTTAGGCAGGGAACATCCTTTCCCCCACCTCTCACAAAAAACAACCAACCCTTCCCCTTCATTGCCACCTCCTCACTGGTGGCTTCCAAGCTGGACCTTCTGCTTCCCCTGGGGTCCTGTATAAAACCTCTTCAGAAGTCTCTCCCACCAGAAAGCAAACTCCTTCAAAGCAGAACCCCTGTCTGTCCCACCTGGCCATCCGGCTTGACAAAATCCTTTGCCGACTCAATTACAACTAATGAATTGCAGCATTTGTTGCCAAAATCCCACGTACAGTTAATTTTCCAGATCTCCCTCTTCCCTATACCAACATCTGGACCCACTCAAGGCTTATTCTGGAGCAGAAATCCTGGATCCCACTGGTCTCAGGGGACGAAATCAGTCTCCAGAAAATGAAAAATCGTGGTACCTATTACATCCTCTGCCTAGGGGTCCGAGGGAAATGGCAAAAAACAGACGTTTATTATTGAAGTCACTGACAACATCCTAAACCCTCATTCTCTAACCTGGTTAAACTGGGGTTTTTTATAAAATCTCAGAACATCATTAGCCAGGACGTACAGCTGACGTCTGTGGATAAAGTTCAATGCATGTAAAACAAAGCGACTTAAATGTCTCTAAAAGCTACTGGGAATATGACACCAAATAATCTTCCCTTGCATGTTGGCTCGCTTAATGCAAGTTTGTTCCTTCTTTCGCTCTTTTTCTTTCTGACAGGGAAACGTGATCGACCTTACAATCAGCACCTTAGGTCTTCTCTAATGCTTTCCTTTTTTTGATCCTGAAGCAAGAAGGAGTCCTCAGGCTTTCCTTGCAAGTCTTAGGTGTGCAAAGCAGATGGGTGAATCAACCCCCCTAAACTCTAACACCAAAAAGTTGACCCTTCTGGAACGCCAACAAACACAAAGAAAGCGCGAAAGGGAAAACAGTGAGGAGAACCTGACGTTTACGTCGCAAACTCAAGTAGCCCCAAGGATACGGGGCACAGAGCGGCGACAAAGCAAAACGAGCCCCAGAGCAGCCCGGTCCTCCCGGCGCGACCCCCGCCCGGCGCTCACCGCGGCGCTGCTTCCTTCCATCTCCCATCGCCCGCCCGGCCCGCGCCTACCCGCGCCGGCTGCGGGCTCCGGCTGCGGCGGCTGCGCTCCGGGCGACGCTCGCTCGCTGCGGCGGTGGCCGGGCCGCGGCTCTTTGTTGAGCGTCGGGACTGCCGGGCGGCGAGGAACCGCGCGCTCCCGGGAAGCGGAGGCGGAGGCGGAGGCTGCTGGCTGGGGGCAGGGGCGGGCACGGGGGCGGTGCCCGAGGCCTCGGGGCCTCCCGAGCCTGCAAGCGGCCGGCTCAGCCCGGCTGCAGAAACCTGCCTGTTGCTTTGTCTTCTTCCCCGCCGCCTTCCCACCCGAGGAAAGTAAGCGGCGCCTTTGCAGGCGTTTCCTCTCAGGAAGGCGGTGGGAGGGGACCCGAGAGGAGTTGGCCCCGGGTCCCAGGTGGTCGCGGGTCGGGGGCGCGCGTCCCCTGAGGCCACCGCAGCCAGGTGAGGCGCCGCGTGGCTCCGAGCTGTGGTTCGTTGGCCCCTCTGGAGGGGACGCCCCTGCGACGAGCCGCCACCCGCGGAGTCTTCCCCGGGACCTGTCTAGCCCTGGAAAGGCCCACTGCCCCTTAGGGGGCTCCCTCCAGGAAGGACATGGCGCCCCGGTTCTTCCCGCGGCCTCTCTTCGGACCGTCCCGCCGGGACAGGTCACTTAACTGCATTTTCCTTTGGCAGTGCCTCGGACCTGTGCCCTTTTTTTCTTCTCCGTTGGATCCGAGCCAGCGACTTGGGCTGGAAAGGCGCCCTCCTCTGGGAGAGGGAGACCTTAAAACCACCCCTTTCACCATTAAGGTCCAGTCCAGGTAAAGAGGGTCTGAGGAGGCGAACCCCAGGGGGCCAGCTACGCGACGGGGGGGGGGGTCCTGGGTTTCTGTGGCAGCGTGCAGTCTTAGTCACATGACCGCTAGATGTCCAAGGAAAGGGAAGTGACAAACGTGGCCAAGTTTAGAGCTGAGGGTAGGGATCAGGTTTCCTGCTGCCCCGAGGAGCCAGTCCTCCAGGTCAGCTTGAGCTGCCTGGTGAGCTTAACTGCTGTCTGTCCCCTGAGCAGGAGCCTAGCAAGGACACAGCAAGACCCTGTGAGTCACCTACTTTTCCTTGATCTGATCGTCTCATCAGAGTCAGCCCACGGCATCCACCAGAGGAACCAGAACAAGAGAGTGGACACAGAGATACAAATGCTTTCCAACTTCCGGAAGACTGATCTCAGTCCTTGTGGGAAAACCAGCAGGGGCAAGTGTCTAGGCTGCCAGGGACCCAGTTATCTCTCTAATACCTTACAGAGCCGGCTTCTGGGTGCCTATTCCCATTAAACTCCTTGATCTTGAGGTCTGGTGATTTGGGGCAAAGAATCAGTGCAGTGATTCTTGGGGTAACAATGAGTACAGTGAGTAAGAATGAGTCGTTACCCTGGTGACAGGTCAGTGGCCTGGTGGTTTTAAGCTGGAGAATTAACCAATAACTTACAAACCCAGACATAACTTCATATAGGTCGAAAAGTCAACCTAAGTTTATGTGAGCTTACTAGCTAAGAGACTGGGAATGGTCCCCAGGAATCCAGCTGAAGTTACTATATTATACATAAGCATTCACCTTGGGGAAAGAAAGGAGGAGGCCACAAGACCCGCTGAGCAAGAACAGCCCCTGTAAGAGGCATGGGCTGGTGTATATTTATCCAGTATCATATTCCTCCACCAGCTCCATCCCTGAGCCCTGTGTATGTGAGGTGGAAAGAAAGGAAAACCGTACAGTAGGCAAGATGTTAAGTACGGAAGGTCAGAATGAGAAATAGAACAGAAGATGAACTCTTACCAAACATTTAATCCTCACTGTTTTCTGGAGGTCATGGAAAAGTCCAGATTATGGATTCTTTTTTGTAATCTCAAATACAAATTTCTAAAAGTTGACAAATCCCACAAACATCACCAAATTCAGAAAATACCACCACACCTTGCTAAATTTTATTATTATTACTACTGCTACTATTATTGATAAAAAATATGTGCACTTTTGGTATAGTATCAAATTTTAGAAGATCGCACAAATTCCTTTCACATATGAACTGTAGGATTTCAGGCCATTTCAAATAGTTTTGTGTGGTGATTAACGTTAAATGTTCTTTTCTTTGTTTTTAAATGAGGCATAAAGTAACTTTCCAAGATGATGTAAAGTGGATGATGTTGGTAACATTCATCAAAATTTATATTTAAGAGTTGTACATTGCTCTATACATAAATTTTGCCTCAATTAAAGAAAAAAATACAGGAATTTCAATCAAGGGAAATTCTAAAATTGTCCATTCATTGTCTTAGGTTGAAAGCCTAGAGAAATCTATGAAGTGTCCATTGCACTGCTGTAAGATGAAGACCTGTGTGTGTGTATCACACACATGTACATGGTAGGGGTGCTGATAAAACCTGAGGCTGAGAGGGATCTTACAGAAGGCAGAGGCAAAGAGCCACTTGGATTCTGTCTTGAGATTTAATGTTGAACATGTGGATCCAAGACTTTAAAAATGTTCTTTCCTTAACCAAGTGAGTCTGAATATATAATATGTGGATACCCAAGGATCAGAGGAAAACTCTTTATTCCAGGTGAAAGCCAAGGTAATTGACTCAGGTGTGGAAAGAAATGTACCCCTCAAACCAGAAATGAAACAGTGAATGGAAAGAGATGAACCCCACACTTTAAGCAAAACCCAGTAACTTTTTTGTTAATCTGTGTTATGAATTTTGTCATCTCATAGTCATAAGTTGTTTCATGTCAGAACAGTAAGAAATTTAAGAATTCACTCTGACTCCTCCATATTATCTGTATTCTTAAACAATTCAAGAGTCTTAGAATATGCATTTAAAGAAAGAAATTTTTAGGGCTGGGGATTTAGCTCAGTGGTTCTGCCACCTGCCTCGCAAGTACAAGGTCCAGAGTTCAATCCCCAGTACAAAAACAAAAAGGAAGAAATTTTTACTTTAAATCACAAACACAAATAGCTCTAACATCTGCAGTATTTTCAATTAGAATGCCTGAGACACGCACTTCAGTATGTACTTAGGATCCTTTATGCATCATATTGTAATGGTCAGTCTTGATTGTGAACTTGATTGGCTTGAGAGATACCTAGAAGCACATTTCTGGGTGTGTCTGGGTGGTTGTGGGGATGGGACCTTGAGGACTGTGGTGCTGATGTTTTATTTGAGTGATGTGATGCTAGTTACGCTGATCAAAACTCATCAAAATTTGTACTTAAGAGCTATACATAGTACATTTTTCTATATATAAATTTTAACTACATTAAAGGAAAAACAAGATTTTTAAACAAGAGAAATACTCAAGGGTCCCGGGCCCCTTCTTCTCTGGTCTTTCCCTCTTACTCTGCTTCCTGGATGCCCTGAGATGGGCAGCTTTCCTTTTCCCCATGATGTTTCTGTCTTAGAGCCAGCAGACCATGGACTAATACCTCTAAAACTGTGAGCCAAAATAAGCCTTTTCTCCTTTAAGTTGTTCCAGCAACAAAAAGCTAGCTAATACATATACCAAATGCAGAAAAACCATTGATATATTAGTATTATTGCCATATCTCTAGCTTCACATACTGTGCCTGGTCCATAACAGGAGCTCAATAAATAATTGTTGAAATTTTCCACTACCCAAGACAGAAAGATTTGATATTACCTAAAATCAGATTGTGCTTGAATTTCAGTAGCCTGAGACGAAGCTGAGAGAATTTGTGTAAAACCAAATTGTAAAATGTAAAAACAAAGCCATTTGCCTGTTGGGACTCTGCTGAACACTGAGTAGGCGTTGGATGGATAGGAGACAAGAAGCAAAGAGCAAAGATGTGCCTAGTGTGCTTGGGTGACTAAAGACAGTAAAGAAGAGGGGAAGCTAGAGGAGGGTGTGGATGCTTCCTGCCTGTGGTCAAGTGCATAAGGAATGTCAGTTCAGAGAGTGGGCACAGGCATAAGGTAGACTCCACTCACCTATTACCAAGACCCAAATAAGTAAGGCTAAGTCTGGGGAGAAAACAATAATAATATACACTTATAGTAAAGGTCTCCACTTATTGTTATCCTTCCTATGCATAATTATTCATTCATGTGACAAATATTTATTGAACATTTATTATGTAGTAGGTGTAGTTCACTGACTATAGCAGGACACCCAATATCTCTTTCCTAATGAGCCTTATAGACTAATGAGCTTAGGAAAGCAGAAAATAAGCAAGGTAAGTAAATAAATGGGATGTTATAAGGTGCTACATGCTTTGGAGAAAAAATAGCAAAAAAAGGAGATAAGGAATAAGAGGCATGGGATTCAGTACAGTAGCAAAGGGTGTCCTGAGAAGGTTTTACTGATAAGGTGAAAGTTGAACAGAGACCTAAAAGAGATGAGAGATGAAGCCCCTCAGATATGTGAGGAAGCACAAAGGCCCTGGGGTCTTTCCTGGTGTGTGCTGAGCACAGTAAGGCTGTTAGCCGAGTAAGCCAAGGACTACGAGGAGGTGTGATATGTGGAATTGTATAGGTCATTGTATGTGTGGGCTCTTGTGGATAGGTCATTGTATGCACAGGGCTCCCAACTGCACTGGGGAGATGTTGCACAGGTAAGTGATATGATCTGACAAATCTTTTATCAGGACAGATCCCCCTGTGTGATAAAAGCAGGGAGGTGAATTAGGAAGCTATTGCAAAACTGCAAGCAAGCGACAAGAACGGTAGCTAGCTCCAGGTTGGGATCAAAGGGGGTGGTAAGAAGTGTTCACGTTCTAGTGCTATGGAGCTGACAGGTGCTTAGAGATGGATCCAAGGTGTAAGAGAAAGAAAGGCGAAGATGGCTCAAAGGTTTACAGTTAAACCACTAGAAAGATGGTGCTGCACCAACTAAATGGGGGAGAACTGTGGACCTGCAAGGCTGGGGTGGAGCAATCAGGCCACCAGTGGCTACCTGTATTGAAGGTTGTGAACGTGGAAGTGGATGACAAAATAGGAAAAATGCACGCTGTGCAGGCAAATCAAGCTCTTGAGTCTAAGCATGAGAAAGAAAAAGGGTTTACATGTGCTGTGGTCTGTGCTTATGTGGAATGGTCTTAAGGTTGTTTTGGAAGCTCAAGTGGGAAGAGGGGCAGCCCCCCAATATCCCATCTGTACTAAGTTTACCCCCCAGCATAACAAAAAAACCAAAACAAAATGAGAACAAAAAACAATGGAAGCGCTAGCATTATATTCCTATAATCCCAGCAGTATCTTACTTTGTCTCAAACTAATTTCTTCCCTGACCTGGTGAGACTAATATTTATTCACAAGTACTGTTTGCAAAAATTGTTACTTCTGCCAGGCATGGTGGTACATGCCTGTAATCCCAGCACGCCGGAGGCTGAGGCAGGAGGATCACTGATTTCCAGGCCACCCTGGGCTACATAGTGAGTTTAAGAACAGCCCAAGCAACATAGGGAGATCCTGTCTAAAAAAAAAAAAAAACAAAAAAAAAATAGTTACTTCTGGAATTAACTACAAAGATGGATTTACTTAATACATTGTTTTCCAGGATGATAGAAATTAATTAATATTTTATTTTTTGCTACCAAAAAACTACCACAACTTCTTGGAATTATAACAAGAATATGTAATGAAATCCACATATGCATCACGATAGGGATGTTGACTGGGTTCCATTTCTGTTTGACCAAATCTTCCATGATTCCATTACTCTGTAAGAGAGACTTCCCCACCAGGAGATGGAAAGTGGCAGGCCAGGCAGTTTTCAGCCCACTTGTAGGTTCTCTGCACACAGAGTCAGTTCTGTTACCAGTCCTGAGTGCAAACTTGACTTAGCCTTGTTAAATCTTCTCGGCTTCCGCTAGGACAGAGCGGTGGGAAGGGGTGAGTGAGTGAGGCCCTGTGCTCCTGCCGTTAGCCCTAAGGACTCCCTGGGACACCTCCTCTTCCTGCTGAGGCTCTCCTGCCCACCCCGTTGAATGGATCCCACACAGAAAGACTTTCTTGCCCACGGCTGCATCAGTTCACAAGAAACTGTCCCCTGCCCCTTGCTTAAGCTGCTCTGGGCATGAGGGCTAAGGCCAACCACACAGCAAAGGTGATCATGGCCCTCACCCCAGGTTTCCTGCCAAGCCACCCCCACTGGCTTTCTGAGGTGTGAGTGAGGCCGCCTCCTCATTTTCTCCAGCTGTAGAGAACAACCGCAGATTTCTCCAGGGGTCTCCTTCATTAGGCTGGGGGTTCGAGAGCAGCACCCCCAACCCGCCCTCTAAATGAAGACAGGGCCTGGCAACAACTTGTATCACCATCTTCTCCCTCTCTCCTCAGATTCTCACTTCTGTTTATAGCTTTGATGCCAGGGTGGGATCCAAGATTGTGGAACAAGTTCTGAGGACATTTCTGTAAAAATCTGCAGGGGGAGTGCAGTTGTTTCACCGTCACTTTGAGAATCTGCCATGTGTATCACAGTCTACTTCAGGAGACCCTGGAAAGAATCCCTTCCACCATTCTCTCAAACTTCTTAGCTTGAAAAAAATCATTTTGGTCACTACAAATATATTGCACATGCATATAGTATATAGACTTGATCAGCTGCACTGCATATTCATATTTGAGGTGATGATTCTGGAAGCTTAGTCCTGGGTCATCAGCTGTCACTGAAGAAAATCCCACATCTACATTTGGCCCAATCCACTGCACCTACATTGTGAATGTTAGGTCACTTCTTATGTCTCACTGGTCACATCTGCTATGTCTTAATTCAATAGCTACTCGACACCTGTGGCCATTGCAATTTAATGAATTAAAAGAAAATTAGATTTAAAAATTCATTTGCTCAGCCCCATTAGTCACATTTCAAGTGTTCAATAGCCACAGATGATGAATGGCTGTAATGTTTAAATCATGCAGATCTAGATTATTTCCATCAAGGCAAAGAAAACTGTTCTACAGTACTGCCTCACATAGGAGACATCAAATATAGGACAGGTGTGGGAGGCGAGGACAGGAGGATTGAAAATTCAAGCCTAAGCCTGGAGAACTGAGTAATTTAGCGAGACCCTATCTCAAGACAAAAAATAAATTTTTAAAGGGTTGGAGATGTAGCTCAGTTCCAAGGCCTTCCATTCAATTCCCAGTACCAGGGAAGAAAAAAAGACAAGTGAAAGTTTGGCCCAAAGGTACCATAATTACATTGGTTGGTTTTCCTTACGACCAAAGCTGTACAGTACCAACAGTCCCTGACTAAGTCCTCTTAGGCTTTTCAACTTTGCAGTGGCTCAAAAATGATATGAATTTAGTATGGAATTCAAAATTCCATACATCAAAATTTGGTTGTTTTGTTTTGTCATGCTGGACATTGAATCCATGGTTTCACGCATGAGAGACAAGCACTGATGCTGAGCTACATCTCCAGCCCTGTACTTCACAGTTTGAATTTGCTATTTTCCCTGCCTAGCAATATTCAGTATGTCGCTGTGTCCAGCCAGCCGCACCTCCGTGAGGATAAATGACTGAGTTCTGCAGCATGGGTAGCCATCATTTTGGTATGCCCGAGCCACATTGAGTGAAGAGGAATTGTCTCGGGCCACATACAGAATACATAATATAACGTTAATGCATATAGGTAAAAGAAAACTGTTACTTTTTAGTGTTTTTATTATGTTTCTAGCACTAGTGATGTTGCGTATGTAATTATAACAATATCACAGGCAAAAAAACCATTTGATACCTTTATGTGGTGTGCTTCCTACACCACAGCTGCTAAAAAAACTTTGAACTTATTACATTATTTCATGAAATAACACAAACCCAAATTTAATCATTAAATAAGAAAGTCTGTATGTCTACTTAATAATAATAAACGTCTGACTTCACAAGTACACACGTGTAGGTAGGCTGAAATACTACTGATAATTGCTGGGCTGTACTTGCCAAGTCCCATAAGCACATGTGAGGTCTGATACACGCAGTCTTCAATTTGACCCCCATGATGGTCACAGGAGGCAGAGTTAGCACCACACTGTTCCTCCCCTGCACTGCATTCTCTGTGACCTGCTGTCGTAGTTACTTTCTCACCACTGAGACACAACACCTGACACCCAGCCACTCTGTGGAGGGAAGGTTCATCTTGGCTCACAGATCATAGAGCTTTCAGTCCATACTAGGCTGGTCCAAGGCAGGGTGCCATGGTAGAGGGGCACAGCAGAGAAGAAACACCTCATGGCATGGCAGGCAGGAAGCAGAGAGAGTAATGAAGGGAGGAGAGGGGGATATAGATCCTTCCCTGCCTGGCCCCAGTGACTCACCTCCTCCCACCAGGGTTCACCTCCCAACATCACATTTAGCTGCGACTCACCAGTGGGGTAATCCAATCAACTCCCCAAAGCACCACCTATGAGCACAGGAGGAGACATCTAGATAAAAACTGTTAACACCTGTACAGTCCTTGCCTGAGCACTACCTAATCAAATCATGAAATATATTGGCAAAAAACACACAACTTTAAAAGTTTGCAATCTTGGGCCAGGGATTTAGCTCAGTGGTTCTGGCACCTGCCTCGTAAGCACAAGGTCCCGAGTTCGATCCCTGGTACCACAAAAAAAAAAAAAAGTTTGCAGTCTTTTGGGGCCACATTACTAGATGTCCAGGCCTGTCGGGGGCCCAGAGACCTTGGGATAGACAGCACCTGACATTGTACTTCGTTGTTAAGTTAGGATGTTTGGTAGGTTAGCCTTGTTTGATACATTTTCAAATTAATGAGGTCCTTAAAATGGGTTATTGGAATGTAACTCTTTAGTAAACTGAGGAGCATCTATACTATGTGCTGACTCAACCATTAAAAGTAAGCCGCACATTTAGTTTTTCACACCAGAGAAACTTTATTTTCGGTATTTACACGTGTGTCCTATTTATTTCACTTAAAACTAAAAGTGTAAATAAGGATCAAAATGCATAATTGATACTGTGAAATAGGAAGAAAAGATCTAAAGGAATAGAGGAAATGGGAGGGATGGGGGAAGGAGAGAAGGGAAAAGAAAAAATATGAGAAAAGGATAAAACTGGAAACAAATTATTTGTAAATAGGGAAGGGTGGAGGAGGTGAAGGGAGGGCAGGGGAATGGGGGAAAAAATGAGAACCAAGATACACCCTGTAAAGGTACAAGATCCCAATGATGAATGTAACTATATTGTATACCTAAAATGTACCAATAAATAAACTTAATTTTTTAAAAAAGTAAGCCTCACATCTTTACACAGGTCATAGCTACAGCTGCTGTTCTATTTCACCCTCGAAAGTCTGTCTGCTGCCCCCGACTCCACTGGAAAATGCTTTACCATCAAAACAATTCCTGCAAATGATTGAAGAGAAAAAGCCCCTATTTCCCTCAAACAACTAATCACTTTTGTAGAATTATTCCAAGAATGAAGAGTAATCCTTTTAAAAACAGTGTCTGTATCAAAGGGAGATTCCATAAAAAAACCGTTTTTTCGCTGAAATAAACATTTCATTTGTGATATTTTTTCCAGGGTAAAAATGATCCATGCCTGCATATGTGCTCAAATTATATGAGCACCTTGGAACGTTTCGAAGAAGAAGGCATAGCACAGTAATGCAGCTTCTCTGCAGTGGGTGGTGACAGGGGAAGCTATCTCCTCCTGAACCAGAGTCAGGGGACAGACAGGGTCCCAGGCTGCTCCCTGTCTAATCGAGTGTGGACACATAAGAACTGTGTTTGATCTGTGTTTTGGTTCCTAGCAGGAGGCTCTTAAAACTCCCTGATAGGAGAGTCTTCTATTCATAAAAGAATCCCTTTGGATGGAGCCTGAATTTATGCTAATGAGGTGAACTAGGGCAGGATCCATGGGCAGCCTCAGGCTGGGGTTGGTCATCAGAAAGACCACGTGATACAAGGGTTGGCACTTTCAGCGCCACCCCCTGAACTTCAGAAATGGTAGTGGACCTGGAGATTAAACTCTATAAAAAGCTGTTTGTTTATTTATTTGTTTGTTTGCCATCTGATTTTGAGACAGGGTCTTGCTATGCAGCCTAGGCTATCCTTGAACTCATGACTCTCCTGCCTTACCCTACATGGGTGGAATTAGAGATGCACACCACCACCCCTGGCTCTATAAAAACTCTTGAAGGAAGAAGTTTGTCGAGCTTAAAGGTTGGTGAGTACATTATTATGATGATGTGGTGTGCGCAGAGAGGCCATGGAAGTCCTCTGTCCCACTTTGTGCCACTTTGTGCCACTTTGTTCTAGGCTTCTTTTCCATTAGCCGCTCCTAAATTGTGTCCTTTTAAGAAACTGATAACTATAAATAAACTTGGCATTGTAGTCCTATGAGCCATTCCAGCAAATTGCAGACCTAAGAAGGGGTCACAAACCCCTGATTTATAGTTGGTTGGTCAGCAGTATAGGTGATAACTTGGGACTTGCTGCTAACATCTGCAACGGGGACAGTCTTGTGGAACTGGGCTCTTCAACTTGTGAGCTATGACAGGAACTCCAGGTAGATAGTATCAGAGAAGAAGAGGACACTGGGACACCCACTTGATGTCCTCGGAGAATTGGAGAATGATTGTTAAGAAAAAAAACCCTCACATTAGGTGTCAGAAGAATTGTGTGAATAGACAAACAGTTTTCTTTTTCCACAAAACTTCCAAGTTCCTAGGCTTCCATTTCTTCTTCTACAAATGAGAACACTTGGCTTTCCTGCTTGCCCAATTCCAGCATTCTGAGATTTTAAGAGCTTTCAGTTGAAAGCAGTCCCTGTTTTCATGACCCTCACAATGTTTTGGCAAGACTTTAGTGACAACAACAAATTTCAGAAGCTGACTCTGTTCTGAATCGTGACTCTAAGAAACTCAGGCTAGTCTAACAGAGCTTTCCAGGTGGCAAAGACCATATCTGTATTTATTTAGTTTTCACCCCCAGTGCTAAACATGTTGCCTACTACGTAGAAAGTGCTCAACTAGTGTTCCATGAATGAATGAATGAATGAATGAATGGATCCTGTCTCCTTATTTGGGGCAGAAGTAACATGTTACTTGTTTAGGAATTCCCTTGATTTTAGTGGCTCTAAAGAGAGAAAGATTGGTATTTTCAACAAAGTAGATTGGAATTTCTAATAGAATTCTCATCACAAAAACATGCACATAAACATTTACATTTTAGAATCTCCATAAACTTAGGTGTTTTTTAAAGAAAGATCTCTCCCATTAAAGACTCCTACTCTGAATATAATTGCTGAGTAACCTACCAACAGTGACAACAGGAGACAAGTTCTTGGGGCTGAATTCAGAAAAAGTGGGTTTTGAGTCACTTTACTCCTAAGTTCCGTGAAACCAGGCATCTGGTCCTTTTGGTTTTTATTATTCCACAGTCAGGAACCCCAGAAAAAGTTGGGACTTTTCCCCTTCCAAAATCAGCTTTTTTAAAGTATTATATACTACTCCTGTCTGCAAAACATCAATTTTGTGTACACTTTGATGAATTTATCAGATATACAGAGTTGTAAGAGTATCACCCCACTCAAGATATTTCTTCCCCACTGGCTCCCTGCAGAAAGTTCTGTGCCACCGGGCCCTTTGCAGCAAAGCAGCTGGTCCTTTCCCCCAGGATGTGGCATCTTAGCAGCTCCTGACCTCCTTCCTCTCCCTGGAGTTTTGTCCTTTTTAGAATTTCATATAAATGGAATCACATGGCATGGAATCTTTGTGTCTGCCTTCTTTCACATAGCATAGTGCTTTTGAGATTCGTCTGTATTTACACATATGGATATGTAGTTGATTACTCTTTAATGGTGAA